TCTTCCTTCCTACCCTGCCCCAAAAGACTATTTGTCCTTCAAATTATCTCAAAGGAGCAGTCATAAGGAAATGCAAGTTCTTAATATGTCTTAAGTGGTACTATATATTGCTAAATACTTCCCTTGCCAATTGTATTCATTAAAGAAGCTCTTAATCTTATTGGAATAAGGAGAGCTCTTCACACTTAAGATTTTTGTGTCTCCTCTTTTTGTTCCCTCTGGGATTGGTACTCTTCCAATTTATGGCCAGCTAGACCATTCTTGACTGTCTGCCATTTCTACTGCCTTTGCAATGACTTAAATGATCTCCCATCAATTTTTCTAAGAGTTAACCTTCATTTGCTATAGGGACATGAATATTTAGATTTCTAGAATATGCACTGTCTTCTTTATCCTCCCTTTTTATTGCAGGGATAACAACAGCAATTTCATATACAACAGATAATTCTTTCATTAGGTCTTCTTCCTTTCAGCACCAGTAAAAGGGGAACATGTGATATCAGACTCACAGAATCACATTGTACTGCTTTATTTTTGGGACACAGTTAATTTTTTTCATAGTAGCTAGTAAAGAACTACGTTTTGGATTTGCGACACAATAGCAGAGCTGGTAACAGAGCAGTGTTTTAGCTATTGCTAAGCAGTCATAGCCTTTCCAGCTTCCCAGACCATCCCACCTGGCTGGGGTTCCACAAGAATCTGGGAGGGGACATAGCTGGACAGATGACCCAGGTTGATCAAGGGGATATTCCGTACCATGTGGGGTGCTCAGCATGTAAAGATAGGGGAAGGGAGGGAAATTCCAAATTACGCCATTTTTCTTCACAAATAACTGTCACATGTGATGGAGCCCTGCTCTCTTGGAAATGTCTGAACATCTGCCTGCCTACCAGAAGCAGTGATTGAATTACTTATTCTGCTTTTCTTGAGCAGTCCCTTGTTGGAGGATCAACAGAGTGACTGTGTGGGACTTAGCTGACTACTAGAGTTAAATCACAGCACACATAAATCAACAGTGTCTGTGCAGAGACCCTGTAGAGACAAAAACCTGAGTCTCAAGCTGCAAGGAATAAAGTGCAGTTAGAGACCATTGAAGAAAACAGAGGAAACACTCCTGAAGGAAACATCAGGGACAATGACAAGGAAAGCAGGGAATGTGCCTTCTGGCAGCAGCAGGAGGACTCATTATCCACCTGCAAATTTTCCACTTAAAAAAATATGTATTACCCTAGGAAAGGTGAGAAGGAAGAGTACTCAGAATGGAAACACCTGTGTCCACTTAGATTGAAGCAAGTGTGTGCAAGGAATATGGTGGCAAACGATAGTGACTAGAGACTGTGCCCTTAAGGGATGTGTCCAACCCTTTGCCAGCTCGACTTGATGCCCTAGAATTTTTGCTGCATGGTCAAAACTCATACAATGGGTTTTGATGAGAGATTGCTAAGGCCTTTCTAGTCCTCCAACTATTAGCTCACGTAACTCACAATGTGTCCTCACAACAAAGGTCAGCAGCATCCTGAGATGCATTAACAAGAGTATCACCAGCAGATCAAGGAAAATAATGCTTCTTCTCTGTCTAGCACTGGAGTAAAACATTCAGTGCTGTGTTTCCTACTACACAAAGGCATGGGTACACTGAAGTGAGTGCAGCAGAGATGACCTACATGGTAAGAGGCCATATAAGGAGATTCTAAGATGGGCAGGCTGGAGAGGAAAAAGATGATAGGAGATCTTATTGCTGTCTACAGCTACGTAATGGGAAGATGTAAAAACAATATAGCAGGACTTCTCTCAAAGATTTAGGAATAGGACAGAAGCCAAAACACTTAAAATTCTGACTACATATAAGAAAATCCTTTTTTTGTGATGTGGGCGATCAAGCCTACAATCTGCCCAGAGAAACTGTAGAGCTTACACATTTGGAGATACTCAAATCTCTAAGCTGGATGAGACCCTGAAGACCTTTGCCTTACTGGACCACATCCGAAGTTGGCATTAGAATCTACGATATTAAGATGCTCCTTCCAATCCAAATTATTTGTGCTTCTGTGATTCCACATTCTGCTTTCTAACTTATATAACACTTACGGCTATTCCCCTCTAAATATAACTTATATTGGTGTATGTCTCTGTGAGAGTCTGAGTGACAGGTACGTTAAACACGCATAGTGGTGTTGAATTACAATTACGTTTTTTGGTCCTTAGTCCCCCCCAAAAAATTTCCACCTGTCTTGTAGGAGGTATTGTGTGGCTTCAATACAGAAGTGAAAATTTATTCTTTTGATGTGTTATAGATAAGATTGGATGAGCTGACAGAATAAACTCTGTGTTTAAATTTAGACAGCCTAATCTGATTATTTATCAAGTGTAACTATTTTTGTCTGCAGGTTTTGCTAAATCCTAGTTGAAGGTAATAGTGACTGCCTCCTAATTCACTTAAATGGACTAGATACTTAAAGCATGTATGGAATTGCTTCTTTCTAACCTTATTTGGAGGACTGTTCCCTAATATTGTGAATTTTGTGTTCACTAGTAAGAAACAACTCAAATTAGGAATCTTATAAAACAGCAGATGTTCCTCACAGGGCTATTCAAGTCAGCAAAAAAACTAATATTAATGTACATAAATGAATATTTAATTTGAATTTTCTCCTTTACATGCCTGGATAAATTCTACTAACCATGAACTAAACTGTGCTACCCCCTTCTAGCTATGCATTAAAATATAAATGCATGTTTTTCATATCTCTTCTTTTAGATATTAACTTTATTATATTATAGAAAATACTATCTATAAAAGTATATGCATAAATATACAATACATATTATGGAAGCTTTTTTAAAGTGTGTTTTTTGGGTTTTTTTTAAGATACCACTCATTGGTGACTTGCAGACTAATAATCATATAAAATTAGATTAGCTTCTTTGATAGAAAATTTCTCAAAAAATAGCATAGGAAGTTTTCCTAAAGTAAAATTCCTAAAGGTAAAATTGATTTAAGTGTTATTTATAGAATAGTATATCTCTATGCTGTTTTTAATATCAACCAGAGATCACACAATCGAGATCCTAACCTGCTTTCTGCTAAATAAATATGCCCCAGGATACTACTAATGTATAAAGATAAAGTGAACTTCAACATCATGATGGTCCTGTATCTTGGAAAAGTGCTTGTGTTTGTAATGATTGCAAATTGCTCCCTAAAAAGAGATATTTTCGTGAAACCTGTTCTCAACTCTCTTTAGCCATACAAAATGTTGGACTCATAGCTGTTTCATCTGGTGTTATTTTGCATACTATCATTTGGAATGTTTCTGTTCTAACAAAGTCCATCCTTGGAGATAGGACTGCTGCAGTTTTGATCTGATATAAATAAGAATTAAAACCATACAAATCACAGAGTATGCTGTTTTATTCTAGATAGCTCAGTAAAAGTAATTCATCCCCACTATGTCTCTCACTGGATTTAGGTGTACCCTTGAATTTGATATCACCCCTAGAAAACAAACACGTTTTCATGAACTGCCTAAAGTTGAAATCCAAGGCAAGGCTTAACTTGATGTAAAGTTAAAAGTGATGTAAAATAAAATTGCTCACCTCCTGCTAACTGGTGCCTAGCTCATTCCCAAGCTTCAGCCACTCACTCAGCCAGCTCCTTGTAGCTGACACTGAGCATGACATCACATTATATGGAATATTCCTTTGTCCAGTTCTGGTCTTGGCTGTGCTCCCTCCCAACTCCTTGTGTTAAGCGTGGGATGAGTGCCCTATTCACTGGGTTAAGAACTGACTGGATGGTTGTGCCCAGAGAATGGTGGTGAATGGAGTTCCACACAGATGGTGAATAGCCATGAGTTACCCAGACCTCAATATTTCAGCCAGTACTGTTTAATAACTTTATCAGTGGTCTGGATGAAGAGATCAAGCGCACCCTCAGTCAGATGACACCAACTGGTATGCTTGATCTGCTCGAGGGTAGGAAGGCTTTCCACATCTGGAAAGGCTGGATTGATGGACCAAAACCATCAACCTCTTCTGGTTTGGGGTGGCAGATGAAGTCCTTGGGGCATTGCAAATGGCAGTAAGTTTGCCATTTAAGCAACTAAGTTAACACCAGCTTGCTGATAGACAAAATTTAAGTTTCTGTTTTGGGTTGCACTTCAAATTAATTCCTACTTCTAACAGGGAATAATTGCAGTCTTCCTCTGTTAATTTACTTGCTTACTCAGTTTATTTTCAGGATCCCACATTTTGGTATTTCTTTCCAAATATTCTCTGATGTTTGTTGCTACTTTATAAATTTCAGATAATTGTTCCACATGTTCCATTTTGAAAGTGATAGTAAACATTCTTAAATTCATATAGCTACTAAGCACGAGCAAACACACACATAGAGTATCACACTTGTCTCTTGTTAGGTCCTAGTCTGTATTTGCCATACTTATGAAATACTTATAACTATATTAGGCAATGAAGTAATAAATTAGATTTTAGTTTCCTGTAGGTTATGTATATTTCACAATGTTAATTTGTGGATCTAACCTTGAACTCATACCCTCTAGAGGCACTTCTCTATTAAGAACACAGGCAATTTTAAGTTGCCAGGATGAAGTCTGAACTTGTGGAAACAAAACCAGAGCTAAGTCTCAGTGTGACAGTGGACTGGACTTTCATCAATGTCCCTAACCTTATTCTAGAGAAACAGAATCCTTAGATACAAACTTGTGTTTTGGTTTGTTTGGTTTGGTGTATATTTAAGCACAAAAAACAATAGACAGGCTTAGCTATTAATTTTGAGGATTTGCATTGTTTTTTAACTTGTGGTTAATTCTAAAATAGAATTAATAGTTCCTATAAGCCTACATGGAAAAATTTTTAGAGACAAGTAATAGTAATGCTATTAATAGTAAGTAATGTTTCTGTGGTGTTTTTAGACTAAGTGTAGCTGGGTATGATGACAAGCTTTCAGGCATGCAAGCCCATCATCAGGTTTAAATATAGAAACAGAAGCCTTCAAGCTAAATATGGGGTAAGCGAAGTTGCTCTGGGTTTAATTTCATTGCTTTAATCATTTGGACAAATTGAAGAAAAGCACCTAGCACCGGTGGAGCTGAGGGAGATGTGGGTGAGATCCCAGCTCCTAACAGAAAGGCAGTTAATTATTACTTTTGGTATAGTGAAGAGTAGGATGAAGGCTAGGCAAAATGAGCAAGCAAACTGGTATCTCTATTGAGTCTGAAATTTTTAGTAACAAGTACATTTATATTTCAGTTCACAGGGTTGTTCTTTGGAATTATTCTGTACATCACATTTGAATCGGGATTTAATGGACAGAGGGTGAAACCTCATAGCTGCAGTTTTTTGAAATTCGTCTTTACTGTTCAATTTTCTCAACTCCAGCATCAGAGATTCCATGAGTACATGTGGCATATGGAATTAAGTGAGAAATAGGGCTTTGTATGTGTGGAGTCTGTTCTGTTGTGGGTGAGTTGAAAGAGTAGGCAATGGAAAAGGGTGGGAGAGAACTCTTTCTGAGAATGAATCAGAAATCAAAAACTCTAGGAGAAGGGTAAGATTTCCTTAGGTAATACTGGGTCATGGAGGTCAGCCAGATTACTTCAGGCAGCTGTATTTCCTGTGGCTAGGATTTCAGGATATGGTTTAAATGAGTATACTGACCTGTGGCTGAATTTTGTGTCAGCCTGAACACAGAATAAACTGTGAGTGAAATTCCAACTAGCATTTAAGGTCCTTGAAAAGCATAACTGAAGTTGTATAAATCTCAACACATATATCATCACTATGTTGTATCTCTATCGTTTTGCCAGTCCGTCCTCTTCCATCACATCAAGAATAAAATATTTCAGAAGCTGCTATATCTTAGTTTAAAAAGTTGATGAATGCCTTCATTTCCAAACAGGCAAGTTAATATGTTTAGGGTGTGGTAGGGACTTTTTTAGGTTTGTACTTTTGTTTGTTTGTTTTCAGTTTTGTTGGTGTGTTTTTTAGGGCTTGTTGATTTATTTGTTTTGATTTGTTTTTTTCTGAGTCTGAGGTTTAGTGGAGGCACACGAATATATTTTTCCACCACCAGAAAGATACCAAAAACCCTTGAAAATTTCATACATTCACTCCTGATCACACATGCTAAAATAGATTTTGATTCTCATGGTTAAAGTAGTGAGAAACAAATCAGAATTATGTTATTACTGGAAGTTGCTGACACGTAAATCTTAAGTGAACTTCTTCTGATTTGTTTAGGTGTTTTGCCACTGCAAGTATCCTTGAGGACTTAGCAAGAAAGGTAGAAATACATTTCATGGTAAACCTGAAAAATATGAGATGAAATATTAAAACTGTCATATCATAGCTCCTGCAGATTTAAGCTTTCTATAGTCCATGGTTATTTGTGTCCAATGAGCAAATGCATGACAGTCCAAAAAGATCGTCTACCATATAAGAAACAGTTAGCTTGACTTTCTAGAGGAGACAAAATGAAGACAAAGAGAAAACTGTGAACATTTAAGAAAATCATGGCATTTCTCTTGTAGCACCTTCTCTCCAAAAGATAGAAAATCAAAGCAAACAGAGTAAATACCTGAGTGCTTAATGATATTACAGCTTGTGATTTTATTTTTTTAAATTTCTATCAATTAATTATACTGTTTGATGTGTATAAATGTGAATAAAGATTTCATATGTCAGTCATCAGTATGTTTGAAAACAGTGCTAGAAAATTATCTTATTGACTTGAGATCTAGGGTTAGAGTCTTGCACTTGCTACTGATTTGATACATACCAGATTAAAGTTGATTTGTCAAAATGAATTAGTGGATTTTGAGAGGCAGTGGGGTAGAAATTTTAGTCTTTTAAAAGGCCAAATATCATTTACTGCCCACTCGAAATCACCATGGCATATAAAGGCTAGTGAATCATGATGATTGCAATGAATACTGGATAATTATTTCATATTAGCTGTGGAATTATGCTGAGGATGTAAATAATACCTTCATTAACTTCCTCTGAAAAAAAGCCAAGAAAAAAAACCTCTCTTTGTCAATGTCTCAGACATAGCTGTTCATTATAGGGAATATGCACAAAATGTTTTCAGTTTTCTTTAATTCCCAACTACTCTACAAATAAGCAACATATATTTTTCATTTACTGGAATAGTGATGATTAGTCTTATAACACAAAACTATTTTACACTGTTGATGTTGTATTGTACAGCTTAAAATTGCACAAAAATAGCATCATCCACCTGTTTCAAAAGTACCAGACCCCACCAGGAACATTTGATGTAGCCTTTTGTTCTTTGTTGTAATTTTTGAAAGGGTAAAATTTATCTTGGAAATGAATAGTTCTAAATAATTCAGGTACCTGCAAATTGGAAGTATGCCAAATAACAAGCAAAGTTTACAGTATTTTTACTCCTAAAACTTCAATAGGTAAATATAAATAGCCAGTACCTGCTGATGCCTCCCCATAACAGGAATTACCATCAAAATGCCAGTAACTGATTCCATCGTTGTATCCAGTCATGTAAGTATCCACCTGTAGCCACAAAAGTCACCCCATTAATCCCTCTTTTTATTTCCTGGAAGTAGGTTTAACATCTGGAGTATGCTGAGAATAAGAGATTGACTTTGTCATTTACTCAGACTGCAGCTTGCAAAGATCAAGCCCAGGGCTGCCCAGCACAGAGTCCCAAGAAGCCCAAGTCACACAACTTGCAAATCTCATTCTCTAGTCCTTTTTCTCAACCATTCTATTTATCTCCATTGTATGTCACTTTCTCTTTTCAAGTCTCCTCCAAATACACAACCTGTCCTTAATTATGTTTTCCCCATTGATCTCAATTCTACTGAATTGGCAGCCAGCCTTGCTCGTTGTGATACCACAACTTGGATCATCTGTAAATCTTATGATGCCACAGCTGGATGTAGGAGGGCATCTTACTCCCCCCACCAGAGCTTGTCTGTTGCTTGTTAACCAGTCAGATAACTCAGACAGGACAAGCTGTCTTAAAATGAGTTCTTTTGGCAGCATGGGGTTAGCATTAGTCTGGCATCTCTCAACTTCCAGCAAACATCTTTCTGGTGAAGTGAGATGTGGAAAGATAAGCTGGGTTTCTGACTAACACTCATTCACTTTACAACTATAAAAGCCACAGTGAACTTTCAAAATTAGAAATCTTTTATACATTTTCCTGGAATTGTGTGGAGTTTCTCCTGTGAATAGGGACATCTATTTCCCAGTTACTTCCCAGAGGTTAAGTGAAGGAATCTGTGTACATTATTATAATTTGGTGCTAAGTTATATTCAGTTCCTAACTGAGACTATTTCTTTGTTAGCCTTAATATAGATACCTTAACATCATGCAGTGTCTTATGGTATGTTGCAATCTACTAATAATTATTTTATTTTTATACTCTTTACTGAGCAATTTTGATTAATACATTTTGTCTGTTAAATATATAATTTATTTTTTAAATATATCTGATTTGCCATCATTAAAACTTGTGGACAAAAGTAATTCCTTTAAATTTAAACTATTGCCAAAATATGAGGCTAAAGCAGGATTTACCCATATTTAAACCCCTTTCAGTGAAAGAGTTTAAATATACAAAGGAGCCCATTCTGATCTTCAGACAAGGCAGGACTTCTTTAATAAACTTTGTCTCAAGCTTCCAATCTCCCTGTGACAATGGAACTACCAAGGCAATGCTGGCCTTGCAGGACTCTGCTCTTCAAATGGTCCCAGTGTTTTCCTTGTGCTGCCTGTGTTGCTTGGATGTTTCTTATTTCTTCTCCCTTAGCCACCTGTGCCATGTCGCAGCTCCTTATGCTTTCCTTTGTCTTGTCCATGAAATTCCCATGTCATGCCATTTTTATTTCTGCAGTACTAATACATTCTTGATATGTAGCAGGAGGTTCATAGTATTTACAGTGAAGGGAGAAAAGTGATTAGTTAGAAAAATTAGATTAGAAAAACCCATTCACCTCATTCACTCATAACAGTGAAATCTGATTGACTTTATGTGAGCTTTAAAATTGTTTTGATATTTTGAGATGACTAAAATAAAACCAAATTCATAATGGGTTTCAGTCACATTTGTCATATGAAAAGGGGATATTCACTTGACCCTTAGTGTGGGGACATTTACTCAACCCTTATATAATTTTTCTGTCAGCACCCCAGGAAAGTCAAGACCATTATGCCTGACAGCCTGTCAGCACCATGTTAAGGGGACCTTCACTGAATAGTCCTGCTGGATCAGAGGACAGTTTGACTTAGTCAGTGAAATCCACCAAAAGCATGAAGGAGACTCATCAGTGGGTCTTCCACTATATTTGAGTATATCACTCACTGATGGTGACTGCCAGCACCTGTGAAGGACTCACACTAAAAGTTTACAGAATAACAATCTTTATGAATAAAAAATTGTAACAAGTTACGTTTCGAGGATTGTTGGTGGTAGTATATGACTGCAAAAACACGTTCAAAGCAATAGAGAGACAAGCTCTAATTCCCAATAAAAGTATTCAGCATGGATAGAGTGCAGTTCTTACCCAGCAGGTGTCACTATGGGGGGGTGGACAGGTTCAACCCATCGACTGATCCCAGCATTTATGACAATGTCCCCTAATTTTTCCTCCATTTTTTACTAATTTTTATATTACTTCTTTATGTTTAGGTGAAGCTGAAGTGACTCAAGTTATGCATACCTTTGTAAGTGATTGATGTAAAATCCTCTCACTTAGTTTTTAAAGATACATTTAAAAATAAATAGGGAGCACATGTCCAGTGAGGGATGGATCGTACCTTGGGCACAGGAGCCTTTGGGATGCAGGTGTGCATTAATATTAGAGTTGGGTCATAGTGAACCAAGTTCACCCAAGGAGAGTGATTTTGCCATGGTTGCTGGCTCTGCAGCAAGACATCTCCTGTCTCCCTTGGCTGTTAGGTGGTATGTGGTTTCTCAGCTGCAAAGTACCATCGAGTTCCCCTCCCTGCAAGGATTTCAGCAGAGCCTGGCTGACATGTCCTCACTCAGCTCTACCTTCTGTTCCACCTCCCTTAGCAGGAGCTGTGGCTGCAGATTGTGGGTGTGGTTAATCATCGTGTAATGAGTTTCCAGCATACCAACCACATTCCATCCAGAGAGTAGCAAACATATTTTACCTTATAATTTCTATATTGTTAGAACCTCTCTTAGGATGTGACTATAACTTTTCAGTCTTCTCTAATTTTAGACCCCAGCCATTTTTTCCCACACATTGTTGTGACACTTCATTACTATTATTATTATTATTATTATTATTATTATTATTATTATTATTATTTTATTTTATTATTATTATTGTATTGTTATTATTATTATTAAATTTTATTATCAATTGTTTAATATCAATTATTATCATTATTATTTACGCTGTTGAACTCATTCCATCCTCTCTCATCCCCACAGTTCTCTTCATTCCACAAAAGGATTGAGCTATTGTTTGAAACATAATCAAACTAGTATGTTAAAAGTATGTTGCTGCTGATACCTTCTGTGCTAAATTTTGTTCACATAAAGAAACTGTCATCTATTACAGCAGATTAATGACAGAACAGTACTTTTTTTCTATTATTATTTATTTTTTCAGTGTGATGTGGCCTTTTGTCTATAATCCAGCAGATAGATGAGTTACTATTATTTTATAATTATTTTTGTGACCTTTCTGAAAGCTGTGTGATACCACAGGTTGATCATGAGAAACATCATTATCATCTATAGGAAAATTAAATACTAAATATACTTAGGATAAAATAAATTACTCTTAAAGTTGTCATTGGAGCTAATAAACCACTTAACTAACACTTTTTTGGATACATAAAAGACCAGTGGTGAGAAAGGTTTTTGGAAAGGTTCTCATGACTGTGTTTGATTGCTCTGCTAAGATTTCCTACAAGTTTTAGTCCAAAGAAGAGCATATACTCAGGAAGTGTTTGAGAGTATTGTTAGGAAAAGATGCTTTACTGTTAATATGGCAGTGACATACTGAACATTAAGTATAATATATTTTCAAATTATTTTTCTCAAGAAAGTTAATCAGCATGAATAAAAGTAAAAGAATTTGGCACTAAGTTACAAAATTCCTGGATTTCTGTAATACAGATCTATAATACAGAACTGCTAAAACGTGATGGAGCAAAAGTCAAGTTCATATCCCACATAATGTTCGGAGGGTTTACTCTTAGTTTGGTTTGTTTCCTCCACCCAAGAGAAAGTGAAGTCACTTCAGAAATATCCACTTCTAAAACTGACAATTGTACATAGACTGGTTTCTGTCCTGTATTAACAATTTAAAAACAGAGTAGGGTGGCAACTAGTTTGTTGATCACCAGGCCTATAATTTTCTCTGTTATTTTTGAAAACAATAAATACCGATTAAAGAAATAAAGTAATAGTGTTATAAGCATACTTGGAAGCAGCAACTGCTGGAGTGGAATAAAAATCAGTTGATAAAGAAACAGAAGCAAGAAAACAAATAGCAGCTGATGTGAATTTTTCTGTTTTAAGTAGGATGTGAATTTGGGTATAGATTCAGAGTGGCAGCTGGCTGACGTCATGATGTATCCACAGGTTATGTTATTCGGTGGCATTTTGGTCATAGAATGAAAGTGAATATTGCCCTTGTCTCAAGGTTTGGGCTTATGTGTGCCACAGGACCTGCTGAAAACATTTACACTGCTTCACATTCTCTGCAAGATAATGGCCACATCAGATTAGAATATACCATCTGGGTGATGCAGGTTAGCATCAGCCAAATAGAGACAAAATCTTTACATCAAAACATTTAGAAAAAGAAAAGGAGACCAAACCCATTATGATTTGAAAGTGTGTATCTAGAAGATGAAAACATATGTCCAAAAAGATTGAATATTTTTCTGCTGCTATCATCAAAAATTGATGACTAGGAGCTAGTAAACACAGTAACCTCAACAGATGGTCCTGTTACACAAATTAAATTTGTGTTTGCTGTAGAAGCTAAACAACCTGTAGACATAACAAGTAACAGAGTATCATAAAGAATGAAGGAAATTCCTATACCTAACCTGAGTCACAGCTTTCAATCTGTTTTTGAGGCTTGTTTCCTTGGCTTGGTTTTTTGCTTTATGGGGGGGTGAGGGTGGTTGAGATGTATCTGTTAATTTTATTTTAAAATATTGTCATGTTTGATAGATCAACCTCAAGAAGCTGCTTGCCCTCATGTATGAATCAATATAGAGCTTAAGAGAGGTACAACAAAGAATTTATGAGATCATATAAAGTATTTTGCAGCCTCACTGCCTTTGAAGTACAAGTTTGATAAAAAAATTAAGTGGCTTAAGTAATGAGGAAGATAACTACCAAAGTCAGCTAAAACACTTTGAATTGTTTTTATCAGCTATTCTTGATTTTAGACTTCAACTATTTTCTGTCTGATTTCTGCTGCTGCTGTAGAAAGTATCAACAGAAGACACGTCCTACTTTGTGTGTCTTTTTGGTTCT